AGAATACAATGTTTTACCAAAGATCACTAAAGGTTAGCTCACAACACAACACAAATAACAAGAAGGAAAATGGATTAAAATAAGAATACCTAAATTAGTCGAAATATTTACAAAAAGTGCATTTTTACTAATTTTAACAGTATTCTATCTTTAAGCCACCTCAAACTATTTTAGGTGGTTTTTAAATATTACACCATATACATTTATAGCTATAGACTTAGCTATATTTTTAGATAATAATTAAGAGTTTTTCTTTTTTTTTGTTTTTTATTTGTTTTACTTTAGTATTAATTTTGATTTTATATTTGTTCTACTACATTTTTGCAAAGTTTCAGTCATTTTGGTAATTTTGAGTCTAGCTATCAAATAACTTATTTTTATTAATTATTTACTCGTCTAACTTGCTTTTTACTTTGTATTCATTTTATTTTTTGTTCTCAGACCTTTCAATATCATTCCTTCGTGGCACTTTAGGTCCTGATACAAAGGTTTTCAATAATGTGAGCGAAAGGTCAATGAATTTTTGTTTTTGATTCCAAACAATTAAATCTCCTGATCCTAGATTAAATAGTATTAAACCCACTGCAGCAGTTCTGAACTTTTTGCCCTCAGATTTGGCCTAATTTCTCTAATGGCATTTATTTAATCTGGATTGAGTTTGACATCTAAGTCATTGCAGCAAAGTGATGACAGCAGCAACTGCTCTCTTCTGATTCATGTAAAAAAAAATCTTACACAGGGGTAAATAAAGCATTTATTTGTTTATTTTAATTAGAAGCTGTTGGGAGTATTTGAAAGAAACTGCAGTGACACAAATTCCTGCGGCAGTTATAACAGTGTGAATGAAAAACATGTTTGTTTCATTTACAAGAGGAGCCACAATTCTGAGAAATAATTACAGGTTCTGACTCTGACAGGTTAGGACTTTCTATTGAAAAATAATAATAAAATAAAATAGATACGAAAATAACTGGCAATATAGATTTGAAATAAGATGATAAATCTTCATTAGGATAGGAAATACAGAGTATTTTTAACAGAGTTTATTTAAGGGTGTAGATAAATGGCTCGTTTATGTTACAAGACTGCCATCTAGTGGTAGATATGGCCACGTGCTGAAAAATAGTACAAAGAATAATGATGGTTTCGTACCAAAAACTCTACCAAAAACAGTTAATAGAAGTTAATAGAATAAAATGTGTGATTTTTCTTATGAAGTCCCTTCAGGTTTTTCCTGGGAATCACAAAGGCTGATTACGCTGCGAATGCTGAAAGAGGGAAACAAACAAAAAATATATATATATCAGGAAAATAAAAACAAATCACATAAATCACAGATTTTCAGAAAAATGTCAACCATCTAAATGGTTTGAAATATGTTCAGCTTCTGCTGAAAAAGTTGTACCTCTTCCCACACTTCAACAAGTCAAATGCCTGGTTGATCTGGTCCAGGGTCAGGTTGTGGGTAATAAACTCGTCCAGTTTCAGTCTCTGGTTCATGTAGTCGTCCACCAGTTTGGGAACATCTTGCACACTCTTCCAACCTGTAGACATCGGAAGAACATCTCTGTTTTTCAATATCATCATATTTTATATCATATATTTAACTATGTGACTTTCAATTATATTATCACATAAACAAATGCACTTAATTAATGAGGTTAAATCTAGCACATTTGTGTGTAATGACAACTGTTGTATCACATTATCACATGCTGTATCACATTAACTGCATGTTGGTCCTCAAGATTTTTTACATTATTTAATCAGCCGCTGTTGAAGGTCAAGTCTCCGTCAGCTAATGGTTAATTTATTTTAAACTCACCTCCAAAGTAAGTGCCCTTCACTGTACGACCCATGAGCAGCTTTAGAATATCGATACTTAGCAAATCTCTGTCTGTCCAGCCAACAATAACACAGGTACCCCAGGCATCAATTGTTGAGTCAAACGCAGCTTTCTAGAACAGTTAGAATCCTCTGTTAAACACAGTCACATCTTCACCAACTGTTACAAAAACAATGAAATATTTCAAAAGTACCCACCATGACAGCTGCATTTCCAACACACTCAAAAGCGTAGTCCACTCCCCCACCTGTCATCTCTGCCAGCACCTCCTGAATGGGTTCGCTGTAATCATTGGGATTGACACACTCGGTGGCTCCTAATGCTGCAGCTTTTTCAAACTTGTCAGGGTTAATGTCGACCCCTATGATTCTCTTGGCCCCTGCAGCGAGGCAGCCCATAACAGCTGCCAGCCCAACAGCTCCCAGACCAAATACAGCACATATGGAATCTTTCTCGACCTAGGGGACACGAGGTGGGTTTCAACTTTTGGCTTATTTTTGGGGACATTTTCTTGTGCTGTGCTGCTTTTGGCATTTTATAAATGTTTTGAAAATAGTTAAATTAACTTAAAGGTTAATTAAAATGAAAAAAGAAACCAGAAGATTGCCGTCTAGTGGTGGGATTTTTTATATGTCAGTGTACAGCAGATCAGCCTATATTTACCTGGCCAGTTTTAAGAGCTGCACCATAGCCAGTGGAGACACCACATCCCAGCAAACAGACTTTTTCCAGTGGTGCATCATTCCTTATCTTTGTGAGTGAGATGTCGGAGACCACGGTGTACTGACAGAAAGTACTGACACCGATAAACTGGTAAACTTGTTGTCCCTTACAGGATATCCTGCTTGTGCCATCAGCCAAAACTCCCATTTGAGTTTTGTCCCTGAAGATCCACAGAAAAGAACAATTTAGAGAAAAAAACACTTAACATGACAACAATAGTTTGTGTGCCAAATTCACAGCAAATTAAATCACCAGTTCTTCCGGCACTGATTTGTTTTAGGGCTGAGACATCGTTTACATTCCCCGCACTGAGGCAGAAACAAAGGAATGACTTTATCTCCTAAAGACAGACGCAAAAACAATTTCTATGTATAAAGGAGTGAAAACTGCAATATGTGTTATTGTTTTTTTTTTAGGCTGTGAAATTTACCAGGTGAAAATTTGGTGACTCCTGGTCCAACACTCTCCACAATTCCAGCTCCTTCATGGCCGAGCACTAATGGAAATGGTCTCATCTCAATCCCTTCTCCTGTACCATACAAATATTCCCAGTCTGTGTGACATACACCTGTGGAACATACCTATTCAAAAAGATAGCAGTTTGAATGTTGTTGTCATGTGAGTGCAGTAAAAAATGCAGCCATTTATTGCTCATGTAACCAGTATTTCTTCTTGTTAATCTAACATCATCAGTTATTAACTACTGACAATCAGCTTCAAAACTGACTGTTGCAACCTTTACAGGTACTGATTTTTACTGCTGTCTGTGCACAAATTAAGAAGTTTAAGTGCTTTTAAAAAATGTGTCAGACCTTGACACGGACTTCATGCGCCTGAGGCGGGGCGACCTCCACATCTTCAATGACCAGGGATTTGCCATGTTCCCAGGCAACAGCTGCCTTGCACTTGATAACCTTAAACAAAACACAGTATGGCTGGATCAGATAGTTGATTAGCCATGACTCAGAAACTACTACTTAATAAAAACGTATCGTAGTCAACTATATAAAGGTGTAAGTAAAATTTACGTGGCTCATAATATGTTGATTTTCTTACCTGACCTATTGTAGACATTGCAAAATGTTTCCGATTTAAATCCTAAACTTGTAGTCCTGCTAATCCGGTTTACTTTTTTTGTGTGTGCGTGTAGCTGAATTTGCATTTTGTATTAAGGATTATTACCTCCATCTTCTGGACTGGAGTATGAATTACATCGGCACATCGAACTCTTATAAATCCAGTTTATTTGATATACAATTATAACATTATTAAGTACATTATTTTTTGGAACAATTTAGATATTCGATATGTTTTTAGTCTTATATTCATTACATTCGCATTTTTAAAGACCGCGCTAACGCTGTTGTAAATTTACGACACCTCACAACACTACCAAATGTCTTTACGGCAGCAGTCACACGTGTTGTCATCTCGTGGAGGCATTTCGAAGTAAATAGTTTCTGTTGTCCTTTTAAGTGGTAAGTTCTGTGCTTTTCATTCACTTTTGTCGAACCAACATACCGAAATTGTACGTTTATAAACAAATGAACTACTTATTTAAATGGCGGAGTAAACACATTAATTTTCTGTTATTAGAACTGATTGGAAAAGCATTTAGCATGTTGCTATGTAGGACTCATTGTAAGTGAAACCTATAGATATTTAACGCCTTCATCTTCGTGACTTTGCTCTCTGCAGAAAATGTCTTTCAGAGGAGGTGGAGGAGGACGCGGCGGTGGAAGAGGTGGAGGTTTTAACCGAGGTGGTGGAGGCTTTAATCGAGGTGGTGGAAGCTTTAACCGAGGTGGAGGAGGCTTTAATCGTGGAGGACGTGGAGGCGGTCGAGGAGGCTTCAACAGACAACAGGACTACGGTCCTCCTGAATATGTTGTCGGTAAGCGCTTAACACTCACAGGCTGATAGTTGTGTGATGCTGGATAAATAAAGTTTTACTTTGATATTTCAATTTAAAGTTTTGTAAGTTGGACATTCATAATTCCTCAATAAATTTTCTCGCAAATGATATGTTAATTAAATCCAATAAACTATGCACAAAAATTGTGCAAAACAATCATTTTTACACCTATATGACTGCTGATCTGAAGGTTAGATGGTGTAATATCGCAATGTATCAATTTTCTATAGTATGTCTCTGCCAATGTCTCAAGACCTTGTCAGTACCATGTCAATTGCTTTAACATTTTTGTATACAACTTTTTCCAGCACTAGGGGAATTCGTGCACCCATGTGAAGATGATATTGTGTGCAAGTGTACAACAGAAGAAAACAAAGTTCCTTACTTCAATGCTCCAGTTTACTTGGAAAACAAGGAGCAGATTGGGAAAGTGGATGAGATATTTGGCCAGCTCAGAGACTTTGTATCCTTTGTATCACTGTTTAGTCATAACTATAAACACCAGGAATTATTAAATGTGCCTTTAGATAGATTACTTTTTTTTTCCTTAACCCATGCTTGCAGTATTTTTCAGTTAAACTTTCAGATAACATGAAGGCATCTTCCTTCAAGAAATTACAGAAGGTATGTGTTGAAGTAGATTGTTTTGAGTAGTGCGTTTATATGCATATCTAAATTCATGGGTGTTATGAACTACATCGGTTTGCACCTTCTTTTAGTTTTATATAGATCCAATGAAGTTGCTCCCACTGCAAAGGTTCTTGCCTAGGCCGCCAGGAGAGAAGGGACCACCAAGAGGAGGCCGGGGTGGAGGTAGAGGAGGTGGCCGTGGAGGTAATTTAACTGTTGGCCTGATTTTTGCTAAACAATACTAATCGGTACAAATTCTGTTACTTAATTCTCTTGTGTTTTTGTTTTATTTTCAGGTGGCTTTCGAGGTGGCAGAGGTGGGGGTGGTCGTGGCGGAGGATTTGGAGGTGGTCGCGGCGGAGGATTTGGAGGTGGTGGACGAGGGGGAGGTTTTAGAGGAAGAGGAGGTGGTGGTGGACGTGGATTTAGAGGTTGGCATTAATTTTGTAAGCATTTCTGTTGTGAAGCTGTCTTTGGTGTGCAGTCTTTGTTTTATTATGGTCACGTTGTTTTCTTTTCTCTTTTAGGTGGAAGATGATCTGTTGATGTTCTGGTGGATCTTTTTTTTTGTTTGCCTAAAACCTTCTCCAGTGGAGTGTCTGTGTTCCATGCAAATGTGCAGATGTTGTCAAACTCTGAACATGGACCACATTTGAAACTTGGATCTTGGAATGGATCTTCTTTTTTGATTGTTGCACTGCTACAGAAGGTGCAACATAGTGTCAATTCCTCTTTATAAGCAGATGTGTTCTTTTACCTTGTTTATTGTATAAAAATATTTCAACCTGAAAATTGTGCTTTTAATAAAAAAAGGCAAAACAACTTTTTTATGCATCATTAATTCATTTATTTTGATGCTCTGAAAATATCTCAAGTAGATCCTTGCTGATGGCTTTGATTAAAAGGGTGTTTTGTACAAGTTCAGATGTTTGAAAAGAGACAAATCAAATGCAGAAATAGTTGTGCATATTGGCGGTCAGTTGTTTATTCCAGCAATGTTGCTTGATTTAATATAAAATGTGTAAAACAACTGCCCAAATAATTAGCTCAGTCATTTTGTGATTTTTTTTTCTCTGAATGATTATCAACCTCAAAGTATCAAAGTACAGCGTTTTGAAGAGGCCTTTATTCACCTTATCTCCATTAACACAGCAGTGAAGCTCCACCGTGACCAACTTTTGTTTACCTTTATGCCTCAAAGTTTAGTTATTTTTCATATGGGATTTTTCATATTTTTTAAAGTAGGGACTAATTTTAATTGTTTTTTTTTTTATCTTGACGGTGCATTTCTGGTTAAATTTAAATAAATATAATAAATATTTTTTTCATACATATATGTGATATCCATTTTACGACTTTTTCAATCACTTTACAGCTCTAGCTGCATCACCATTACGTTCTCCTCTTTGATTGGTCCGTACGTATGACGCTGCTTCCACCCCGTTCTCTTGCTCTGAAGGGAAGAACATGGAGACAGTTGGAAAAGTAAGTGGGATTTCTATAGCCTGCAAAATAACTGTTTTAAATGCATATCTATTTTGCCTGTGTGCGGATTAAGCTCGTCATAAATATAGATTAAACCAACAGGTCTTTTTTTATTTGAGTTGTCGAATGAACACGTTCGGAGTGAATGTTTAATCATTCAGCAAGAAATCAGTTTGCAGCTGTTTGCAAGTTGGTGCCGGTCGTGTCGAAAGTTATACAATGTTATTGCATTGAAATAAAAAGAGTAAAAAGCTTGTAGCTTTAGTTAAAGTAGAAACAAACTAGTTAAGGACCACTTTGCACTGTTCCTTAACTAACTCTTATATGACGGCTTTAACTGGGTCACTGTGCATCTGTGAAGCCATGGCTTCTGTTAAGTTGCAGGTACCGGTTTAAGTGCAACGTAGAATACACACACACACACACACACATATATCTCGTGCTCTTTTTAGGTAATCAAGTGCAAGGCTGCTGTTGCCTGGGGGCCAGGGAAGCCTCTTTCCATTGAAGAGGTGGAAGTTGCACCACCTAAGGCCAATGAAGTTCGCATCAAGGTAAACCTAATAATGATTATTATATAGTAAATGTCACACACGTTTAATTCGATGCGTTATTGACGACTGGATAAGTCCAAAATGTTAAAAGTTTTGGTTTGTCAAGTTATGTTCTAACTTAATGTTTACAATTTAAAGACAATATAAAAAAGTTGTTTGGACTTCCTTGAAGAATATTGAGAACTATAGTTTTTGTCTATTTTATCACTTATATTTTTGGTACCTGGTACATGGTGTGAGCACAGAGTAATAAAATATTTTCTTCGTATTTATCTTTTTACAACAAAACTCTGCATGTAGCATTTTATAATAAAATGCACATAATTTATTTTTAATACATTTTTTGTAAGTACTGCCTACCTTTTTGCCTCAATTATTATCATTATTATTATTTCATTATCTAAAACTTTATCTTTCAGCTGTTTGCCACAGGGGTGTGTCACACAGATGCCTACACACTCAGTGGCAGTGACCCCGAGGGACTTTTCCCTGTCATCTTGGGCCATGAGGGTGCAGGGACTGTGGAGAGTGTTGGTGAAGGTGTCATCAAATTCAAGCCTGGTATGAAGCAACACGTCCCAATTAAACATGTTATGTGCAGTTGTAACTATATGTTCTGTTTTTAATTTTTTTTTTCAAATCTCTTTGTTAAAGGTGATACTGTGATTCCTCTGTATGTACCACAGTGCGGGGAATGCAAATTCTGCAAAAATCCCAAGACCAATCTTTGCCAGAAAATTAGGTAAAATGTCAAATTCTGTCAAACTACACCTATCCAATTCCATTGTACACATCTAAAGTTTTTTTTTTTTATGTGGCTCCACATTACAGAGTAACCCAGGGCCAGGGTTTGCTCCCTGATAAGACCTCACGCTTCACTTGCAAGGGAAAGCAAGTGTTTCACTTTATGGGCACCAGTACCTTCTCTGAATACACCGTAGTGGCCGATATCTCTCTGGCCAAGGTGAATGAAAAGGCTCCAATGGATAAAGTGTGTCTGCTTGGATGTGGCATTTCTACAGGCTACGGTGCTGCTCTCAACACTGCCAAGGTGAGGAACACCAGAGATTTTTGGCTGTACTGTAAAAATGTCCACAAATATTAAAGCAATGTTGACACTTTAAGTTGTTTTAATAGTTTTCTTGTCCAAAAAGGGGGGAATGCACTGTAAAAATGATTGTTATAATTGTGTTCTCACCATAAATAATCTTATTAAATGTAATGGTACCAAATCTATTTAATAACCAGAATAAGGCTAAATAAGTTCACTGTATTTCTTTCACATATCAGAATCAAAATCTTCATTGCCATTGTAGCAAGGCAACATTGCACAATGAAATAAAGATGCAACTTTTCCCATGCACATTCTTCTTTCTGCACACTCCAGGTTGAGCCCGGTTCCACTTGTGCCGTGTTTGGACTTGGAGCCGTGGGCCTAGCTGCTATTATGGGTTGCCAGGCTGCTGGTGCAACCAGGATCATTGGCGTTGACATCAACCCTGCAAAGTTTGAGAAAGCCAAGGAGTTTGGAGCAACTGAGTTTGTGAACCCCAATGATCACACCAAGCCCATTCAGGAAGTTCTGGTGGAGATGACTGACGGTGGTGTAGACTACTCCTTTGAGTGCATTGGAAATGTGAAAATCATGGTGAGACATGTTTTGTAGTACTAATTGTCCTAGACAAGACGTGCAGCGAAAGGTGCACTGATTGCAATCATTTTCCCATGTTGCACTTGCAGCTTTTGCAGATTATCACGTTGGCTCCCTCACTGTTAGTGTCACTGTTACGTCTAATAAAAAATGATGAACTTGGAGCTCTGTTAATTCACTGTAGAGTATTTCCAAGCTAATGAACCACCCCCAGCCTGTAACTGTGAGCTTCCTCACCTATTTTCCCGACACACAACTCTTGTTTGGCTGCCAGCAGGACGTGGTCTGAATGGCAGGTCAACGGTCGTCCTAAAAAAAAAAAAAGAGATTCCAATCACTAGCTAATTGATTGGTGCATTTCTACATGCAACATGTCTTCTGATGGATAAGCAGTATGTCAATCATGTATTGTTTTCATATCATTGTTAATGTGCTGTTGTTAATGTATAAAAAATGTCTCACAACCAATGTTCCAACACTGTTCAAACACTCAAAGGATGAATGTGCATGGAGTCTCAGAAAGTACACTGTCATTATTTCAGAGAGCCGCACTGGAGGCATGCCACAAAGGATGGGGCGAGAGTGTCATCATTGGTGTAGCCGGTGCTGGACAAGAGATTTCCACCAGACCATTCCAGCTGGTGACAGGTCGTGTGTGGAGGGGAACAGCCTTCGGAGGTGAGGGGGTGTGTTACGAAGGCGTCAAAACTAAAACATGACTGCAGAGTTTTCATTCATTGATGAGTATGTAATGTATTCAAAACAGTTTTAAATAACTTATTAATACTGAAGCTTTCTAGTGGTGAGCACAGCTTCATTTTGGCTCAGTTTGTAGTCAGATCAGTGCCGGGGATTGTGTGGTAGGTGACATTAAGATCAAGATGAGAATTTTACCCATGTGCCAACACTGCCCCCGTAGAAAAACCAAAAAGCCCAAACATTACCTTTGTTAATGCGATTAAAGATTTGGTTTTTTAAGTCAGTGTGTATGCATGTGTAATGCTATTTCTAACCTATAAAAGGTCACTATACAATTGCAGTTCATTGCCTTGGGCTTTTCCTAATGGTGAGATCAGTGTATTTTTACTGTTTTAGTCTCTGAATAAAATAGAATTAAAGAAATTAAACTGATTTCCATATTTGCCTGCAGGCTGGAAGAGTGTGGAGAGCGTTCCTAAACTGGTAGAAGATTACATGAATAAAAAACTGAAGGTGGATGAATTTGTTACTCACACTCTGCCCTTTGAGCAGATCAATGAGGGTTTTGACCTCATGCATGCTGGAAAAAGGTGGGTAGATGTTTAATGTCTGTTTTTTTTTTTTTTTTTGTTTTTCACATCTTTGTTCATTAGACTGAGATGTCATTTTTCTCTCTCACTGCAGCATCCGCACAGTGCTGACCTTCTGAAGTGCTTCCAGCATTGACGTCTTTCACATCCGGCCTTCAAACAGTCTAATTAGATGCAGCACTTTTTTGTCTTTCCTCTTTGCTTCTGTTTGAGCAGTAACAACTAGTACTAAAATGTTGTATTTTCCATCCAGAAAGTTGTTACAAACAAAAGAAGTCGTATTAAATGTTCAACTTACATTTAATGTTGTCTTCCTTTTGTATATCACTCATTTAGTCAAACAAATGTTATTATTATAGTACCAAACAGCACACAGTGAGATGCTGTGGCAGTTTAGGTTGTCAAATACTTTGGGAATTTGAGATATTTTCTCTTACTTTACTATCCTACTTACTCCCCTTTGTAGTCAGACTTCCCCACACGAGGACAGGAGGACAGATCGTCCAAGTCTCGTACTTTGCAGTGGCTCAGGTGGACCCAGACGTTCCGTTCTACAATCTTCACTGCAGTCAGCGTTGTTAATATCACTTAGCATGGACCCTCCCATCTGGGGCTCAACCAGCACTTTCTCTTTATGGCTTTCACAAACACCCAGTCACCAGGCTTCACTGGTCTCGTCTCCTGTGGAAGAGTGTGGAAATAGTCGGACAATAATGTGTTCTTTGCACTTCTTTCTGTGTTAACATTTGCTGCATATAGTCTGCTAATGTCCAGTCTGAATCTGGGCCATCTCTTTCCTTTAGGTCCAAGTCTGGAATGCGGAAGTTTCTTCCATACAACATTTCAAATGGTGTCAAATTAGTACCTTCTGCTGGTAATAGGTGCATATTTAGTTGTACTAAATCTGCACAGTCTGTCCATGTCCTTTTTGTTTCATGCATTGCCTTTATTAGCTTATTTTTTACAGTTCCATTCGTTCTTTCCACTAGTCCGGCTGACTGTGGAAAATATACTCTGTCTTTTGAGATCTCTTTTCAAATATTCTCCTACTCTGGTTATAATCTGATTCACAAAATGTGTTCTGTTATCACTTCTGATGATCTCTGGAACACCAAAAGTTGGTATTATTCGTTGACATATGGCTTTTGCCACAGTAATAGCATCTGGTGTTTTACATGGAAACAATTCAACCCATTTTGTTAAAGCGTCTATGATTACCAAACAGTATTCATATCCTTTATCCTTATTCAATTGTATGAAATCCATGTGAATAACCTGAAATGGATATTCAGGAACTGGAAATTTCCCCCTTCTTGTTCGCACCTGGCCTTGTACATTATTCTTGATGCAAATCAAACATTGTCTACAAAACTTTTTAGAAAATAAATTGAATCCTTTTGTATTAAATTGCTTATCTACTAATGATACCATCCCTCCTGTTGACACATGGCACAGACCATGTGACATACCTGCAGCCCATTTAAATAATGACTTAGGTAACCATGGGTTTTCATTTGTCCCTATAAAAATGCCATTCTCTAATTTTGCTCCTTGGGCCAGCCAAAATAACGTTTTTCAGTATTAGGTGCCTGTTCTTGTCGTGTTTTCAATACTTCCTGTGTGTCGCATGTATCAATATCTTGTGTTAATGTCTGTGCTTCGGTCGTGCTTTCAAATGCCATAGCTGCTTGTTTTGCAGCTTTATCAGCTCTTTGTTTCCTTGTGAAACTGGATCGTCTTTCGTGTATGTGCCTCACATTTACATACAGCTACTTTTCTTAAGTGGGAATGCTTTCAATAGTTCTTGTAAGAGTTTGTGGTGCATTACAGATTTCCCCATAGAGGTTTTGAAACCTCTATTTTTCCACAACTGGGCGAAGATATGTACTGCACCATACGCATATTGGCTATCAGTAAAAATGGTAACGTCTTTTCCTTTTGATAATTTCAATGCTTCTGTTAACACCACTATTTCTGCGGCCTGAGCACTATAAGTTGATGGTAATTTGCCTGTTTTCAGGGTTTCAGTCTGTGTTACTACTGCATAACCTGCACAGTTTTGTCCCATGCTATTTTTCTGAGCTGATCCATCAACGTACAATACTTTTCCTTTTTTCAGTGGCACGTCTGTCAAATCTGTTCTTGGTTTCCTCCTTGGGAGTTGGTTGTAGTGTAGCAGGATTGAGTGTTGAGGTGAAAGAAAAGACATTTTTGTTTGTAATATGAGCGCCGCTACTGCGTGAGGCGTTTAGTGTAGTTTTGTGATACAAAACTACTTCTGCTGCTGCATGTACTGCTTGTGCTGCTGCCACTACTGCCTGTACACATGGTGGTAGTCCCTGTGTAACAGAATCTAGTTTGCCAGACTGGTATTGACCAAAATGTTTAAGTGCTATATTTAAATATGATATATCATGTATTTAAATTCATGCAATACATTTAAGAACACTGGAAATTACTTAAAAGTCTATTTGGACATTTAATTTGCAGACAGATTGTCTATTTTGTGTGATAAAGACTGCACCGGTTGTCTCTGCTGCTTTTGGTGCGGATCTCCCTGTCGCTGAACAAATAAAAAGTGGTGTCCTTATCTAGGTGGTGACACTATGGAATTCTGAATATCGCCGGGCGCATGCGCATTCTGCGTTCTCAGCTGGCCAATCAGCTATTTTAACACTGAACCAACGTGATTTTTCAAAGATGGCGACCGGTCTTTTGGTGAGTCAAACGCTAAACACACCCACTACGCAAACATTTATCTTTAGTTATACATACCAGTGTGACAAAAAATCACTGTCAGGTATGACGAAAGACCAGATATTTAAAGCCTTGCACAGATTTTATAAAGCGTTTGGCTGACTAAAGTAAAACAAGCTAACAGATAGTTGTCCAAACATTAGTTTTGCACGATACATTAAACAGTAGCATATGCTTTCTGTTATTAATTCCCCAGGACTTAGTGTCGTTAAGTTGTCAACACTTAGTCAAAGTCAAGTAAATGAACTATTAACCGGGGTCTACAGCTGCATCCTTTTCCTTAATGAATCTTTCTTTTTTGGACGGAATAAATAAGCAGTATTTCTGCTTCCGGTAAACACATTTTACACAGTGTATATCTGTTTAGATCATTTTTAAATTAGCACAACTAATAAATCAATAAGATGCATATCTAATGAATAGAAAATAAGCCTCTGCCACGTCAAAGGAAATCAGCTGGTGAAATCCAAACATAAATTTTAAGAAAATAAAAATTATTTTTCCCCACATGGAGTTGCAAAGAAGTGAGAGTTTACTAAGAGTATATATTAAATGTAGATTATAAACATTACCATATACATGTTATTTTAATAATTTTTAGTTCTGAAAAATCAACATGTTATACTTTTGAGGGAATATATGTCTATCCTAAGATATGTTTGCTTTTTTCTTATGTATATTTTAATTTTCAATTGTTTTTGCATGCGATTAGAAGCCTAGGTGATGATATTTGGGGTGGTTAGTTTAATATTTCTCACCTGTCTACTGTTATCTTATTAGCATAACATTTTTCATATGGATATTTTATTATATGTAGAGAAACATTTAGGTAACTTCAGGTATGTTCATTTATAGAACTGTGTAACTGTTGTTGTTTCACCCACATGCTCATATTGAAAAGACAAGATGCATCTAGAAAGAAAAAACTGTCTGTAAAAGAGCAATATAATAACCGTTTAGTGTTATTGTTTATTGAATTGCAGGTGTCGACATTAGCTCCTTCCAATCCTAAAAAAGAAGAATGCGAGACATCTATACAGAAGGTTATGAATCCTGAACTTTACATCAAGCACCCTTTGCAGAACCGGTAAGTCTAAAGCTTAGATTCCCATTTTTATTTTTTATTTTTATAAATGCGTCAATATATTGAAGTGTACCACAGCACAGCTGTTGTTGGTCACTCCATTGCATTTGCTGTAATTGCATAATGTGGTTGAAGAACCTGTTATGAAACTCAGAAAGTGAAAGTGAAGTGATTGGTCTGGACTGGTAGAACAGCTCTGTTAATCTGAAATGTTGTTTTTGTTTTTTTTGATTGGCAGATGGGCTCTTTGGTTTTTCAAGAATGACAAAAGCAAAACATGGCAGGCCAACCTCCGGCTCATCTCTAAATTTGACACCGTAGAAGACTTCTGGGCGTAAGCATAATGTTTTTGTTAATGGGTTTGTTTGAAAGTATAACAAAGTATCAATACAACTACCTTTTTACTTCTTCCTAAATCTTTATCATTTTGGCAGTGTCAAAGTTATTGCAATTTTTTTCCCCCATCAAACAAGCTTTTGGATGATTATTTGCATCTGTGAACATGACTTGTTTCCAGAATTCATACCTACTTCTTTGTGTGTTTACACAGAACCTCCATTAGAGGCATACTGGATTACATAGTATTAAAATGGCTTTTAAGTATAGATCTGGTTCTTGTGAGGCAACTGTTTATACTTTCAGCAGATTTCTGCTCTGTGCATCCCAACTTCCAGTATATAAAAATAAAACTCACAATTCCTGTTGTACTTTATAGTATTCTAAAATTGTCTTAAAGTACAGTGTTTCCTGGCTTCCTTTTGACACATACTCTGTATAAATAGTCCAGAATATTTTTCATTGAGATGTGGACTCCAGGCTTTGATGGGTGACACCTTCGCCACAGTCCTTATCAACGTTGTTCCCGGGCTTAGGCAAACTGGTTTCCAGACACATGATTGGATGTACCAAAATAAACCTGACATAAAAACTTTTGCCAGCTGCAGCCCAAACTTTTGAGAAGTTGTAAACTGCATAACAAACTTTTGTTTGGCTCTGTCAGATGTCGAACATAGAGTTGGGAGAAAAAAGCCACTATATCCACATTGTTACACCAAAATATACTTAGATAATACTAGAAGCCCAGTGATAAACTGGGAATGAACCGATTAAAGCCATACAGACACTGCTCGTGGAATAAAATGTGTTGTAGTAATTCTGATTTAATTATACTTAAATTTCTGAGGTTAATTAGTTGCCTTGAAAATTTGTCTGACCCACACTTTAAATAAATTTTCAAGAATATATGTAGAAAAACAGGAAATAAAACCAAAATAATAACTTCAAACATTTTTTCTTTTGCTTTACTCGGAGTGTTGAGTTTGAGTCTAACAGCTCCGCACGTCGATGCAGTATACTTATCTTTTCCTGTTTTTCACATTGTTTTCACTTTCCCAGATTGTATAATCACATCCAAGTTTCAAGTAACCTGATGTCTGGCTGTGACTACTCCCTGTTTAAAGTAAGACAAATCAAATTCATTTATGAAATTTATACAAGTTAAATAGTTTGTTAAACTTAAGCTAAATTAAATGGAACAATTTCACCATAAGCAAACACAGTAGAAGAATGGTTAGTACTCTTGCCTTACAACAAGATCATCACTGGTCTGGTTTGTTGTTATGGTGACGGTGACATGTGCTTTTTTTTGCACATATGCATGTAATGTATTTTTGGCTAAAATAACTATTAAATTCAACTACCTGAGTAATAAACTGCTTTTAATTGTTCAATTTGTTTTTTTACCAGGATGGAATCGAGCCAATGTGGGAGGACGAGAGGAATCGACGAGGAGGCCGCTGGCTGATCACTCTGTCCAAACAACAGCGCAAATCAGACCTGGACCGTTTCTGGTTGGAGACGGTATGCATGTTCTGTCCCACTGTTTGTCACTGTACCTTGAACTGAACTTTATTGCTCATGTTTGATGGAAAAAGACAAAGGAAAAACACAGGTGGGGGAAAAAAAAGCTCAAGATTGGCTGTGTTCCATTTGGCTACTTTGGCTACAGTGTCCTGGCATTACGTGTATGTGTGTGTGTGTGTGTGTGTGTGCGTGTGTGTGTGTGTGTGCCACACTGTGATACTGGCTCACAGGGACAGCAGAAATGAATGGAGCCATTGTTGAACATTCTCACCAACACCTGTTCATTTTTCCCACTGTGCCAAAGTCAAAATGTCCTGACATGAATAAATTAACTTGGCTGTTAGCTGACAAAGACATGGAAAAGTTCATTTCTACAATAGGAAACCTTTGTAAATTTTATTTTATATATTTTTTTTTCTGCAGCTCTTGTGTCTCGTGGGTGAAGCATTTGACGACTACAGTGACGACGTATGCGGGGCTGTCATTAACGTCAGGGCCAAAGGAGACAAAATAGCGATATGGACCACGGACTATGAAAACAAAGATGCCATAATACACATAGGGTAAAAATTAGAAAACTCAAATAAAATATTATATTAAAAATGTAATAATATCAGTACTGTTAAAGCTAACATGTTTATCGAATTTTCATCCAATTAAAAAAAAAAGCCTTTTTAAGCATGGGCAGAATGACGTTCGTCGCGTATCCCTTAATTTTCTGCATCCATTTGTCGTTTCAATGTCAGATTACATTTAGCATAGTGATTGTTAGTACTGACACTTCTTGTGTGACTCTTCCTTTTTTCCCTGTGTTTCTAAAATATTTAATTTTCTTCTTCTGCCATATTGTTTTATTGTATTATGTCTTTTTGAAATGCCTGTTAAAGTTAAAGGTCACGTCTGTTCGAACTCTGTTACACTGTAATTTTCTTTTCATAAATTTTCTCCCTGACTGCAGATGCATTTTGTTGTGTCCCTGCTTGTCTTCCTCCTCTAACAGTGGTGTGTTTTCTTCTTCTGTAGACGCGTCTATAAAGACAGATTAGGAGTTCCTCCTAAAGTCATCATCGGATACCAGTCTCACGCCGACACCGCCACAAAGAGTGGGTCCACAACCAAGAACAAGTTTGTGGCCTGATGTTTTTCAACAATCCCATATTTTCTTTCTTTTTTTCTTTTCCATCACACTTGAATGTAATTCACAGGTTTTTGACCAAATGCTTTAAAAGTGAAATTAAAAAAATATGTATTTTCTTCAAATTGCTGATTTGCAAAGTTAAAAGTGTTGTTTATGTTGAAAACATGCAAGTTAAATTTAGCACTTTTTTGGTGGTGGGGTTTGATGAATGGTTTAATACATTTCTTGAAACATGAGTTGATAAATTATAATAAAAAAAACAACTTAAAATGTCAAGAAAAATGAGCATAATCCAATAGCTTATTTCTTCTTTACTTCTGTTGTTGTTTTTGTGCTGTTTACACAAACAAAGTCAGTTTTGTGCCAGTGTTGAATGTGGATTTTGACATTTCTTAGTTAAAATATATTGAAGTATTTTTTTTTTTTCCACAAGGAGTTGTGCACTGAAATGCCTTGTGGTAAAAGTTTAATGTTTAACTATAGTATAGCAGAAAAATTAGGTCTTTTCATATATACAACTTCTTGGTAGCTAACATAAGAAATCACTTGTTGTGCTGAAAAAACGTAAACATCAATTTTAGTATTTAACTTTTGTTGTGTAGACACAAGAGCAACTGTGTTTCCTTTGAAAAGTATATTTTTGTAAAGCTGGCATCATAAAATTTATTTACCTTCTAGATTTTGGTTATGATGTATTAAAAGGTATCTTGACTTCTGCCTTTAAAGCCACATTCTAGTGTCTTTTTTGGAGCATTATATATAAACATGGTTGTGTGAATAAACAGGTTCAGTAGGCCGAACTCTGAAAATTAAAAACATGTTCTGACATCTTGACAGCTGTATAAAGAAAGTGATGCAACATTTCTTCAGAAGTAGTTTGTATTGTTAGCCTTCGAACCACAGGCGGAAGTTGAAGCTCTGGCTACAGTCAGTTTCTTTGCTGTTTTATAGCTAGTTATTAAGATCGGCTCTAAAAGTGTTGTTTCACACGTATTGACAGTCAGTTTAAATTGGCGGCTCAGTCCCTCCTGTCCCTTTAAGCCTCAGTCTAATTGACCCCATTAATCAGGGTGTCTTTAGACAGTATAGACGAGCTGCAGGAAATGAGGAGAGAACACGCTGCTGAGACTCTCCAGAGGTTGTTGTGATGGAGACTTTAACGCCGCTCTGCCAAAAACACATCTGCTGTGAAAACCTTCATTTGTAGGTTGACTTCCAGTGTTAACTATTTGGTTCAATAACACATTTTTTTTTTTTACAGAACAGGATTTTTTGCTTGTTCCATAGCAGGCTTGTTTCATTGTCTAACCCGATCATGCAAGTGGCTGAAATTTAAAACACGTGGGTCACAAAATCAATGTACATTGTGGAGATTGGTGTTTTTGGTAAAAAAAAAAAGTAAATGTAGCTTGATAAAAGTGGGTATTCAAGAAAATGAATTTCACCACTGCGATTTTACCATCTGGAAACCAAAAGTATAGGCCCACAGGCCTGGAGTTTGTTAAATGAGTTATATAAACTAGAACTAGTAGTAAGTAAACATCTCCTTTACTATTTTTTGTGACAGTTTGTCTAGATGCATGTGTCATAATGTTTGACTTGACAATTAGAGCTAATTTTTTAAGCTAACCTCTTACATCATAGTCCAGATGTCAATACTTCAGGCCCCAGATGTTGTCAGATGCGCTCCAGGTCAGTAAGATAATTTTCTCATTTATTTCATGGACGTACATGCGGGTGTGTGCATGTGTGTGTATGCAGGAGTTTGTTAAAGTAATTACATGGGAGAATCAAATGTGCCCCGTCTTATAATGCGATAAAAAATGTTAATGCAATTAACTCTGTGATACTGTGATCTTCTGATAATTCATTTACTTTTCTTCCTGTGATCTTGTAGCACAAACAGGCCTTTATTGAAAAGCAGCGATAGAAAAGAACACAGACATTTAATTAGTGCAAGACTAATGTATCTTCATGGTCATTTATTGACAGCACAGTGCGTATAGATTTATGTAGAACCCTCTCATTCCTTCCTGAGCCCTTCTCCTGTGATGGACATTTTTTAAATCAAATCTGACACCTGAGGTGTGTTTGGCTTTGATAACACTGATGTCTTGACAGATGGAGGCGTTAATCTGTGATCAAACTGACAGAGGCTAAATAAATATGATCGGTATCTGAAGGCAGGTATGTTCAACATCTGGCCCATGGGCCATTTGTAGCACTTAAGACATTTTCTCAGAAACCCAAACTTTATTCTTAAAATCAATGTTTTATCATTAGACTAATATAAGTGATGCAACACTTATGGTAGTTTATGGAGCATTTGAAAAATGTCAATATATTTTGCCAACACTATATCCTAAGTTTTTTCTGTTAAGGACTGGATTTATAATTCAATGGAGCTACAGTACCTTTTAGCTGGATTTGTAGCTCGTCAATGTGAAAGCTCTGACTTTTCTTAGCTATGTAGCTGAAGTACATTTCCATAGCCTCATGCTTTACCCAATACATAGCAATGTTTGCTAGTATTTAGTTATTTTCCTTTTTAGCATATGATTATATCTGGGATGATATTGTGATGTGTTATTCTACCCAAAGCCAAGAGGCTTGGTTTCACTGACATTACCGAGTAAACAAAAGCATGTCTTTCACAAAGAATTTGTATATCAACCCACGGGAGGCGCCATAAGTCCTAGCAGAGGATGGTTTTGATCCATCGACCTCTGGGTTATGGGCCCAGCACGCTTCCGCTGCGCCACTCTGCTATGCTGCTCAAATGGTAACATTAACCATATAATATCCCCAAATCAACATTGTTATATAATGTAATATTCTGAGGTCTATCGCATGCATTCATCTACCAGTAATTCCTTTCAGACCTTGATTACTCTCCATTACTCTCCTGCATTACTTTCCAGAGTTGGAAGTGTACTCAGATCCGGAAGGTTTCAGGTTCAAATCCACAAGCTGCCAAGTTACCACTGAGGTGCACTGAGCATGGCACCGTTCCCACACACTGCTCCCCAGGGGATGGAGCTGCTCACCTTGGTGATGCATAAAATGCAGAGGTCACATTTCGTTGTGTGCAGTGGTGTGCTCTGTCACAATGACAAGTGGTTCACTTTTACTTTTACTTTAAAGCAGGGATCTAAACGGCATCACCGGTGTCCTGTGAGCCTCTGTTAATCACTCACTCACTCCTCTCACCTGGTGAGCCAGGTATGTATACCTCTGTACCTCTATCCCCTCTTTGTCAGGTCATTGTTCAGTGCACGGTGTTGCATGTTTGATATTTGTCGCATGTTCCTGTTTGATGCTCCCTGTTCCTGTGTTGCTGGTTCCCGTCTGGTCCTGGTACTCTGTTAGTGGATGAATGTAAGTTTGGACTGTGAACTTCTTTCACCTGATCTGTGTCTTTCGAGTGCTGAATTCAGGTTATACCTGCTTCTCTGTTCTGCAACATGTGACAGCTAAGAGATTAGAGGATTATACATTTTCATTTAGTTGATCTAAAAACAGAAATGATGAAATATTCTTCCACCAGGTGACAGTAGATGGCTATAAAATAATAAAATCAATAAAATAATAATACAACAAAATACAATTATTCATCTTTAGATGGGGAAATTCACATTCTGAGTATTGAAGCTGGCACAGGCTGCCACAGGAGGCACCATAGACTATGTGATGTGGCTGTCTGATCATGTGTAGTGAAAGAGCTGGCTCTCAGCTTATTTGAGTTTGAGACCCCTGCATTGCCCGTTTTAATTTTTTTTAATGTAGATCATTTTCCATTTTTTTTATTCATGTATTATATACTTTATCTACCAAGATGATGATGACAACACTGACATTTTTTATTATTATTATTATTATTATACTATATTAAATTGCAGGATCAAATTAATATTGCATTTTAAGGTGTTGCCTACCTTTTACTCATGTGAAAAAGCTGCAAAAACCTTACTATCATATTTGCTCTCTCTTGTATTGGTGGAAACATTTTTTACATGCTGGGGGATTGACGTGTCACTCATGATTTTCTCCTTTGTTCACACAGTGCCCACAAGGAGGCAGTGGAACCACACGGCGGAGTTCTTTCAGCCAATCTTTCGATCCTCAGCAAACAATTGAGTGTACGAAAGTGGGATTCCTCTCGGTGAGTTGCACACACTCGGGTAAAGAAGATATCTGTAAATAGCAGCCCGGTCTCTTTTTTTATTTATAACCCCACCATCCCCAACACCACCTTCTCCATCACTGCAGAAAAAAGAAAGAAAGAAGAAAAAAAAAAAGAATTCCACATTACCATTCAGCCCCATCGCCTCAGGCAACTGTCAACCTCCTGCTCACCAGACCCTGTACCAAACACAAAAGAGGGGACTGGGAATGTGAAGCCGCACATCCTCCAATTGGCTGATGTTTTTGTACCACCTCCCATGCACAGTTCTGAGCCCAGCACCATGACACCACTGCAGCATACGGTAAAAGGTTGTAGATAGTCTATTTGCATCCTCAGGAGGTGCTGATTCCTTGTGTGTTTGGTGACAGACGTGTCACAGGAGTGTTTCTTCTCGTCGGTCGTTCCTCAGCGGCAGCAGCAGTAGCCTCTCAGGACTCTAAGCTCCAGGCTCAGTGGGAAGGTTATTATCCATGCTGCTGCTGACAATGTCACACAGTCAATAATAATCTTATCATCTTTCTTCGGAGCAAAGAATTCACTCATTTAGTGACATGTACAGGGTAGAGTGGCATAACGCAGTCATGCTGTGTAGAAGACTGCACGCAAAACAAACTCCAAACATGAACAAACCACGGGATTTTTAGGGCAACTGATTAGGATTAGGAATTTAGAATTACAAAAATATTAATAAGATAATAAGAAACGAGGACAGGAGGTCCTTGGTTTACGTCGCCTTCGCTCATAAATGCTTGTTCCGTTTTGAGTGGCTCGAAAAGCATTTAGTAAAGTCCATGCAGCAGAGTTTCTTAATCTACAACATTAATTTTTTTTAATTTTTTTTTTTTACGCAGCAATGAACAGTATTTGTAGCTTGAACAAATAATAATCAATTGCAGTAAAATGTATTAGTCTATTATGGAGTAGTTACATCTATACCAGTGATCCCCAACCTTTTTTGTTCCAAGGACTGGTCAGCCAGTACCACCTGTTACTACAGACCGGTAGCAAGGTGCTGAGCATTGAAGGACCATGACATTTTCAAAATAAAACATCTACTAGACTCTATTCTGTTTGTATCAGAGCCTGAATGAAATATTATTTTAAATTATTACCAGATTATCTTTAAATAAAGAAAGTAAATGGATACAAGTGGAATTTGTAAAAATCAAGTACATTCTTCACCCTGTCCCACCCTGTCCCCCGTTATCAAATTACTTATGAACTGATACAAGTCTGTGGACCGGGGGTTGGGAACCCCTGGTCTAAACAGTCTTCCATTTACAACTGTCCCTTCAGGGGAACTGTACTGTCGATATGGCCCCCAGTGAAAATGAGTTTGACACCCCGTCCTAGACTATAATGTTACCACTGTGTTAGCGTAGGTGGGTGACATACAGTAGGTACTGATGTACAGAATGTGAGTTGCACTGTGGTAATGGAACTCAAGTTGAGGATCCCCTGCATTTACTACGTATAGGATTTGGAAAATCAGATTAAAAATGGATGAGAAAGATAATGTTTCCACAAAACAGTCACAAA